AAATAAATGTTTATCAAATAAAGTCTAATGTTACAACTAATCGGGGAACCCTTTAAAGGAATGCATATCACCCACTGCTCAATGTCTTATGTTGAGAAATGATAGCCGTCTTGGGTAAACCTTGAAAATAATGTCATACATGATCTGCTGCTTGTGTTATGAATCACGCTCACTTACTCAAGTTTTCCCTTGATTTCTATAAAACGGACTGAGTTAAGGTCATTTCTGCATTTGCGAAAGCCAATTAACTACATAAATCGAGAAGAAAAGTTTGTTCAAGTTATTTCAGTGGTTCATTAAACAATTTGATAACAGAAAGAGCCAACTCTAAACAGATGCAAAAATAAAAAAAGGTATTAGTCCGTTACAAGTATGGGTTAAGGATCATTCTCAGCTACTACCAAACACAGGTTCACAAAGAGTCAGAAACATAACCATGTGCCTTCGCTTTTCAGTAGCGGGCTGATAAAGAAAGGTCTTGTAATGTTTCACTTACTGTGACAAGTCGGGCAGCGTTTGCCATTGATGGCGAATTTGCTTATCGTCATGTCAAAGTCTGTGATGATCTGAAACGGGCAAGAACGTTTTGTTTATTAAAACCACAAAGAGCTGTAATAGGCATCAGAAGAAACAAATGACCTATTGAGGTAGCTGCAAAACACATATCTGGAAATCAAAGCAAATTGGATATTAACTAGGTAAGTTTATTTCAACGGGGATTGACGTACCTGCAGTTTGGAAGCTCCTCCTTTGATGAGGCCACAGATGATCTGCTCCACCCTCTCAGGGTCCCTCATGTGAACGGTTGGTTTCTCAAACTGAGGCATCTAGAGTTAAACAAAGAGAGACACAAATGTTTTAAAAGTGTGACACACTGGAGCTACTGTTCAGTTCATCCTAAAGGTTTCACAGTAGAACTTCTATCTTTTTTTCTTACATAGATTTAACAGATATGAGAAACAGAACAATCAGGATATTTATTTCGACTCATAAAACGACGTTTTGACTTGGAGTTGGATAACTAAGAGGAATTTGTCTGTAAATAAGTAATTTGATTTGCACAGACATTAACTTTATCCTTTAATAAGTGTCTACATTGAAGCTGCAAGTTGCATGTTGAGTAAACTTCAACGGGTTCATCTGCTTGAGATGAACTTCTCCAACCCTGCCTCCAGCACAGAAACAGAACATTGTGTTCCCCGGTTCAGACCAGGGCCACACACGAGTGAGAAGGGTTACAGGATTTCAAAACAGCTGATGTTTGGAATCTGCGGATGTGGGTAAGAGTCTGAACAGAATCCCAAACAACTCTACTCAGGTGTTGCCCAGGTCAGCCCTTCTTGTGGCTTCATTTCAGCAGCTTCAGCTCAACCCAAACATTGCAAAACTGAAGTAAAGTTTGTAGTCGGCTCTAAAGTTTAAAGCTGAGGTACAGCAAACATCTTTATTGACATGTTGTCACTTGTTATGGTTGTGTACCAATATCCCATTTGTTAACTTAGAGGTGATTTCATTAAACTTAATCCAAGTTTAAAAGATAATTTTGTGGAACCTTTAGTGTTAAAGTATGTTTGCTCAATCACCAGATAACAGGAGATGTCGGTAACGTCTGCACCGAACGTCACACTAACAGGAGGGGCACCACAACAGCATGGTAGATATAAAAAGAGTTGATGAAATACAAACATCCAACTTTGTAGATTCAAATTACAACAACCTACCCACCCACCAAACATAGCTCCCACTTATGCAATCAGACTTGCTTAGCAGCTCATACAGTACTGTGATCCTACAGACACAGGACACTTAGAACACAAGCTAAAAATAAACCATTTTTTTTTTTACCCTGGTCACTAGTACGCCTCCCATCGTTAAGCTAAACAAGCCAAGACTCAAAACAACTTCCTGAATTTATTTTCTGCTGAAAGGAGAACACATTGGTGTGATATAAGATACAAATAAGTGACTTCTTTATATGCATGTTCAAATAAAGTGTCACAAAATGTGTTGTCCAGGATCAATTTTATAAACACAAAATTGGAGAAGCTTTCCTAATTTCAATATTCCACCTTGGTCAGATATTCAGTAGCTCTATATATTGTAATTACTCCTAGAATGTTGCATTTGCATGCTTTTAAAACAAAACTATTAACATTTAATTTACCAGTATTCTCATTCTGACAATCCTGTAAGTGTCCAAAAAGGGAGAAGAGGCGTTGGGAACCAAAATGGAAGCATTAAATTCAGTGAACCAGCTGCACACAAACACACACTTACCTCGGGTTTGTTGTCTCTGCCAAAAACAGGAGTGAAGAAAAGATTGTGTGGCTGCGTAGGGTTTTTATAGCTACAGAAACAGGGTAGGGGTGGGGGTGTTGACCAAAACTGATTAGACAACATAACCCCTCCCCCAATCCAGTCTCAAATATATATATATATGAAAATGACAATTCTAGCTGACACATCCCCCCCAGACATCAACACACACACAGTACACTAAAAACAGATGTGGCAACAGCAGCCAGTAAAGCTGAAGTAGCATTTGGAATCTAGACCATTTCCAGTAACGCGACCTCTGACCCCTTTCATAAAGGAACCTTTAAAATCAATTAGCAAAGGCAGAGCTGCGAGAAATGTGTGTGCTCAGCAGTGACACACAATTCTCCACATGAGGAACAAACGCACACATGTGTAGTAAACAGCATGAAGCTACAAGGTCACCAGGGTCAAGGTTCAGGCTGTTTGGTCGGTCAATGGTCCGTCACGTGTGACGCAACGTTCACCTCACACACATTTATTCAACAAGCACACACACACACACATCTCTACACTTGTGTGTATTTTACATAGTCTTGTACAAGTGTGTCACTAGGTTATAAGGACCAGGGGGGCTTAGCCACCAGGAGACGCACAGCATTTTTGTATGTATTTCTATTGTGTGTGTGTGTAATAAATACAGCATATATATATATATATATATACACTCACCGGCCACTTTATTAGATACACCACGCTAGTAAC